GTGTACGATTTATCCTGGCAAATAGAATTTTCATGCAACAAACATATTTTATTTGAGATACGAATTAAAAAAGATAATTCCCTGAATTCGATATTTAATTGTTCGATACGAATTAAATTATTTAATTAGAACAAATGTGCTTTATTGTCAAGTATGGTATGTTCATTGATATAAGAAAGTGACCAATTGCTTTAGAATGGGATTATCCAAGGGTAGTCACTAACATACAATGCAACAAGATTATTACCTAAAGTTTCGGAATTTAAATTCAGGTAAAATTACGGTCTGTAATCTTGTTGCATTGTATGTTAATGACCACCCTTGGATAATCGCACTCAAAAGCAATTGGTTACTTTCTTATATCTATGAACAGACTATACTAATTCTTTTTCTATAAGCACTATGTAAATCTAAAAATTTTAAATACCATAATTTGTGACATGAAGTTAAAAAAATCTATAATGTTGCTAGATCAGAGTTAGTTGAGGTTAGGAACTAAATAGGTTGTCAAGTGATAGAATGTTGCTGTTATCCTTTGACATTTGTTTAGTAAAAACTTGGAAAATTTTAACCACACTCTACACGCTACACTCTTGAACATCGATTTTTAATTGGCAAAATTTACTATTAAAATGGTGAAAATTTTGCACCTTGGAGCAAGTTAGCAAAATTGGAGCAGCTTTTCCTCTTAATCAGGCTCCTTTTGAGACCCCTGTGCTTAATTCAATTTCAATTCAAAACTCGTTTCTCACGGTTGGTATTGTTGGTGTCGGAGTGTCTGTAGTAATAAAAGCATAGCCGATGTACAGCATTGTTCTGAGAATGAGCCTGGAACATCCACTCATCGACCTTCGCAGTAATTGAGCATCATCACCATTATAGCGTTCAATTCATTCAAGATATTTTTTTAAAATATCTCGCGCACCCTGTATGATAGAGGAAACCTGAGACTGATCTTATTATCCCAGGTTTCATAGTTTTTCATTTACGGCTAGTAATTTACCCACTAAAACGGGAATTTTCAAGTTCTTATTGATTTTTGTTGCCCATAATCGACACACCCTGTGCATAATTCAAAAAATGCATAGTTATGGTCCCGGATCTCCAGAATTTGCTAGTGCACAAATTTTGCCGATCGGGAAACAGTTTTCGAGGTTTTTTTTTCTGGAAGCCAAAATATCAAAAAAAAAAAACTCAAAAATTAAAAAGAATACTTCCCGGGATTTAAGTGAGTTCTGTTTCAACAGTTGAAATACCGGTGCGGTTTTCTACCTTTTTGTCGAATCTGAAGTCGATATCTGCAAATTTAAAACGCCTGTTAATTTTTAGATATTCCACTGAATATGTTGAACACCATGTACAATAGGTCCTGTTTATGTGGGCTTTATTCTTATGTAGAAGAAACTTATAGCCTATTTTCATTATTATGGGAACCCATTTTTCAGGTTTTTTGAATATGCGGCTCACCCTGCACATTTTTGAAAAATTGTCAGGAATTGAAATATATGGAGCCGGATCTTCTGCGGCTTGTCGTTCAAGAATTTTTTCAAGATTTTTTTCGGTCGCGTTTGTTTTCGAGAAATGAGTTTTTTCTTGGACCCTTGCAGACGCAGTTTTTATTTTTTTTAGATACTTCCCGACCCCACAGCCCCCTAATTTCACAAGGTTCCGTTAGGGAGCCAAATGCTATTTACTTGCCAAAACTGAAGTCGATATTTTTAAAGTTTGGACATTTATCGTGTTTTCAAATATCTTGCGCACCTGGTGGACTGTAAAAAACGAGCAAAATTTGAGTAGCCTAGTGCAAACGGAGAACGGAGAACGGAGAAACAAAAAAATTTTTTTTTCGACGCTGATCCGTTCTGTAGCAACGGCGGTCCCGTAGGACCTACTGTTACCGAGATCTGGAAAAAAATTATTAGCGCGTATATTTTCGAAAAATTCGATTTCATCGATGTTTCAAATATTTTATTGTCCATTGACCAGTCAATAGACCGAAGTAATTTTTAAAATACAATGAAATTTATATTTACTTATTTATATTTATTTAGATCGTGCGTTACGTCGCCGTCTCGTCGTTCTGAGAACCAAATGGAGTCGATATTTTTGTTGGGATTCACCGAATCGCTAAGTACACAAACGCATAATAATCTATTATAAAATACATATTATTATTAAACAATTTACTTCGTAACCTCAAATTTGCCCACCTTTTATCACAAGATCTGGAAAAAATAAGAATACAATTGTTGAAGTCTGTTGATTTGTTGTTCTTGCCACCTGTTTTAGGTTCAGGTGAGCGTCAGCATTAGAGCTGCACTATAGGCTGTTTCAAGTTAATTTCAAAAAACCGAACTGCCCTTCCGCTATGAAAAAGGGTTCATTTTCAGAGTTTCTTATATATTTGGTGTCGAGGAATTCAGAACACACACACAAGGAATCGAGAATCTCAGATAGTAGAGTAAATATAAGTACATATATTTAGGAAATATAAAAACAATTAAATTTTCAACTCTGAAACATTATTTCCCATATTCAAAGAAACATCAGCTTCCGGGGCATCCGCCGATTTGACGAGATCGGCTTCAGCTGAGACTTGATAGCTCAAATCTGATCCCGGTTACCGCATAGGTATTCGATTCCTCGTTGAAAGGACCTTTTGGAAGTAACCATCAACATCACGTTCACACACGTTCACATCTACGAGTTTCAACTGCTTCAGAAATTGAGGAACCTCCCCTCAGCTCAACTGCTGTTGTTTTCGCGCAAGTAGTGGGACTAAGTTCTTCCTGGCCGAGTCGTTTTTGCCTATTGCCCTTTTAAGATTGATGTAGTGCTGGTTGATAGCGATGACATCAATGAGGTATTATTAATCTACACCTTTTTGGAATAGACTATAAGCATAGATTGGGTACACAGAATATTTTCAAATATTGAATAGAGTTGGATGTACGTGCAGCAAACAATGGCTTTAAACAATCCCGAACGGGCCGGCATTTAAGAATCAAATATATTTAAATATTTAAACAAGTGACAAGACTAACTACGGACGGGCACAAACAACCAAAGCGATAGTATTCCTTTTTCTAGTAAACGGAAGTACGCGCTTTGAATATTTTGAAATACCTCAAACGGAAAATTCCAATGCCTATCTTTGCATGCACCATATTCCTATATACAGAGTATTTCCACGCCCGCCACAAATCTGTATGCCGACCATTATCCGTTGCGCTCATTCGATTGTTTGTTTTATAATTAGACCTTACAAAGCCGTGCGTATTCTTATGATAATGAAGACAAACATTGTCGGGCACGTGTCGACCAAAACAGGGTGCGTTCTTGTGCAGCGGAAGCGCGTGCGTTCAGATTCAGAACGCTAACAGTTCGGCGAGTGTTACTTTATGAGCGCCTAAAAGGCTCCAAATGGAAGTTTTATGTGAAAACACACAAGCTACTTGGAATTGACACATCAGCCAAATTATTGCGTTTGACAATTGAAACGGTTGTTGTTGGATTTGTTCTCACAGCCAATCTCGAGCACGTTTATGGCTGCTTCTAGACTATTGGCAAAGCGTCGATATGAATTTCTGATAGATTCAATTGCTCTAACCGTAAATTCTCATTTACTACTAATTAAATAGGTATTGTTTGCCTGTGCAGGGCACTATATTAGTTCCTTTACTTGTTAGTGATATACAAATGACATGTTAGAACTAAAAACTATTGGTAAGATAGTAGGTTTCACTGATGACACTGCAGATGCTTAGAAAGAATAAAAAACTACGGCCAAAAAAGATTTCAAAATCATAAATTCCTGGTTTCAAATAAATAAATAATTAAATAAAACGTTTGCCAAATTTTCATCTTTTAAAAATAAACGACACAGAGTTTCAGAAACAGAATCAATTAAATACTTAGGAGTTACTATAGATAGGTACATGAAATGGGATTTACAAATAAAAAAATTGTATTAGACCAAATCTTGGAGTTACTAAATTTAGATATCTTAAGGAATTTAAAAAAAATCAACTAAGATTGCTTTTTCCCTTTTTCTCTTTTGGTATACTCCCGTCTATGGGGAGTAGCTTAGTCACATTTTAATTCCTTGAGTAAATGATTCTTGAAAATAATATATGTTAAAAAAAAGAAACTACCCCACGGACCCAATTTTCCAAGAAACAAAAATATGGAATATTTACCAGCTTTATTGCTTGGAGATATCAAAAATGTTTACAAAGGAAAAATTGATTGTGAAAAAGAGAATAAAAAGTGATCCAAGATGTTAGTTAAGCTCTGAAGAAGTTCGACACGATGATTGGCGAAACGTCAGCAAGTTCAATTCATATACATTATATTTAAAGTATTTATTTAGTTGAAATTATTAACTAATTTAAATAGTATTTAAATTATTTAGTTTTAATATTGTATAATTATTTGTACTTAAAATATTTCCGGACGCAGGAGGAATCTAGGAGTTTTGTAAATAGTATTATAATAGCCTGTGGAAGTTTCTTTTGAAAAACTTGAATTTAACTTAAAATTTTGTCAGATAGAGAATTTGTTACAATTTAATCAAATTTTGTTATTATCAGTGTAATAGTTGTTAGGTTATAATATTCAGTCAATTCACAGGCATGATTATGCCCTTTTGATTTTCTCTGTGATTATTTACCATACTATTTTGAATTGAATTTTTTTATTTTAGTCGCACACGACTATTCGAAGTCATTTTCTTATCAATTCGGCGTGATGTAAATGATGTAACGCTCCCTTTATATATATTTGTGTGTCTTGACTACCAGTAACTCTATTAGTATCCTTCAACCCTCTTTAGAGCTAATCGACTTTACGTTAGCTCTTTGTGACTTATCTTGACTGCCTTGAGTTCTATTTTTCGCAAATTTAATTTGAACCTGAAATTATTTAAGTGCAGTACGCTGTATGTTATGCAGTCATGGATGAACGTTCTTAGTTCACACATTCACTTTTGATTGTTTCAGATATTACCATCCGGACATCCCTAAATAATGGAAACTACGAAACTCGAAAGATTTACGTTTACCTAAATCCAACGTAGTAGGTATTATGTTCGACGGTTTGATTACGCGATTAACCAGCCCCTCGTCTCGAAGGCGGCACACCTATCATTGTTCGGACGTCCACTCGGACCCTGAAGATGGGGAGCCGGTTACGCCGAGGAAGCCTCGCCTTTTGGAACGCAGAAAGAAAGGTCGAAGGGGAGAAGTTGGTCTTAGGCAGGCGCGAAGTTTGGGGAGGCTTGACGGACTTAAAGAGGTAAGTTTTTTTTCGTAGTTGTATTAAGTTTCTTTCAAAAATAGCAATCTGATATTTGCGAATCATTTCTATACAAATCTCTTTGGGGAATAAATTAAAACAGACCTAATTGCAAGGTAGAGGATCAAAAAGTTTTTTTTTTTTAATACTATTTGCAAATCTTATGCGTCATCATGTTGACTTCTTCAGAGCTTAACTGAAACTGGTTCGCATTTTACTTTGTACCTGCTTATATATTGGGGGCGGAGCTAAAGGAGTGTACGTGTACATTGTCTCGTTTAACCGATTTATATATTGATTTCTATGGATTCTCGGATTTTTTTCGTGATTGTATTCGGCAACTGCTGATGACATTATTAGTCGTAGTCTTAAGACTTTTTCATGTTCTTTTAGCGTACCGTATCGTTTGGTTTGGGATGGCTTTCTTCTCAAAAGCTTCCATAAATAAATATAGCTTACCTCATTATGTTCATAAATTTCACCGTTTGAAGAAAAATATATTCCAGGCAACCAATTCTCGGATTTTAATAAGGACTTTTGTAAAGAGAGACTCTACGTCGAAACTAACCAAAATATCGTTTGATTGTAATGGTTTGTGATTCTTAGGGAGTCCGTAGAAACGATAAATTTTAGAGTCGTCAAGGGTTTTAGTACAGAAGAAGCTTTAGTAGCAGATTTAAAGTTGCTTTCCATAGACGACGTAGGATCTTTTTTAAGTTGACTATAAGATGCGTCTGATGGATTTTGAATTTTTCTTGATATTCAGTTGTGTTTATGACTACTGTAGCATTTCCTTTATCTGCTTTTAGAATTACTAGGTCGGGATTAGATTTTAGAGCGATACGTCCGAACTTTGGAATATTAGATTTAGGAAGTTTGCATTTTTGCGGTTTCAAATAGAGTTTCATTAGCTATTTGAGATGACCCTTTGTTTAGGATATATTCGACATTTGAAGTGATTTGCTCTTTTGTCAAGAACTGATTTGCAGATACATTTTTGCCTTGATAGATGCATTTTTGTATGTCTTTTCCTATACCTGCGGTCGTTTGGTTTTACACAATCTGTAGGAAAGTAATAACTATTGTTATTATTATTTATTGCATTATTACCTTTCTCTGAGCAACATTTTTCGCAACGACCAATCTTTGCGATACCGTTATCCCACTGTAATGTAATGTATATCGTTTTCGTCAAAGCGCATCAACAGTAAAAGAAAACCGTTATCCTAGGCGTTACCCTGTCGTCAATCTATAACCAACTAACGAAAAAGGCGACCATCTCTCAGCTAAGGAGATCGCAACGCTCAAAATTACAGCGGCATTTTCGCTACCGCCTTAATCTTCCGTTTAATAAGGCGTCTTAACTGTAAATGAACGCGTAAAAGTTAACCTTAAGTCGCAAGGTTGTATGAGCGGGAATGCATTTAAGACATTGAAGGGAAAAAATTCAAATAATAACGTTATGCAGGCGACCATTGTTTGCAGAGAAACTGTGCCTCCTTGGTCACGTGCTTGAAATCAAACGAGATGATCTCGCGTGATTTGCATCAAGCGACGGAGGCATCTACGCAAGTTAAGACTGACTGTCTTGTCTTGCTTTTTTAGTCTTAGTCTAAAAGTGCTTTCTGCTAAAGTGTTTGATGATTTGTATGATCCGATTAAAGATACCATAATCCGGGAGAAGGTTGAAGGTTCAAGTTCTTTCAGGGACGCAATCATTACTCCCACAGCACCTGTTTTTGGTATTTTTCTGCATTTTTGGATTATGTAGAAAAAATTAACATAAATTTATTTGGTTAACTTATACTGAAGATTCCTACATTTTAAGATAATAAATTTTTTCTTAGAATAAATGATATAAAAGAAATACTTTAGTGTAATGAACTTGTAGCAAGGCTTTGGGCATTTTTTAAATTAATAAATGTGTATTTATTTGGTGATGATAAATTCCTTCCACTTAAGTTAAGTTAAAGTATTCTGTCACAGTACTTGTTTATAACCAAAATTACACTGGTCCGCTGTCCGCTGTTTGATAAAATCAGTGCCTCCAAAACGTATAAGGTCTTTATTTAGGTATATATACTAAACGAATAATTGAGTTCGTGGATATTTTAGGCAATTTTTTTTCTTTAAATTTCTCAAAGTATAATATAAGCGATAATTACTGTTCTGTACTACTAAAATTTAATAAACCTGTTTTTTTTTCAAGATTATCTATTATTGCGAATATTATTTAAACGTTTTCTTGAAAATAATTGGTAATTAATAATTTCTGCTTAAGTTATTAAATTATCTTTTTGCATTAACTGTCAATGATGTGCTGAGTGTTAATCATACGTTAGCATTAACTTACGGAGAACTTTTTGCAAAATGAACATATTCCTTGAAAGTGTCTATCTCCAGGTGAACATCATTTAGTGTTAAAAGTTCAACATAATTTCACTTCAGATAAAACCAAGCTGAGTCCGTTGGAGCCTGTGTTGAGAATGCAATAACGAATCTGTGAGGAGCAATTAGATAGACCAAATAAGAGACTATGACTGCATTCAAAATCTTTCGATTTACCCCACGGTATTGAAAGTAAAAAGCACGTTACTTTCAAGACAATCTTTGAAGAAATTAAACAGAAAGGGCTTTGGAATATTTTCCACACTCCTTTTTCTAAAATTTCTAAGGAAATAGACTTTAAATACAAAAAAAACCAAGAATAGAAAAGTGTGCGAATGATCTAACGTGATTTCAATCAATTCATTGGCAATACTTATGGGATTATTTGGAGAACAAAAACTCGGAAGTTTCAAGGCAAGTTGTTTTTATTGTCATAACGTGAATTTTTGCGAAGGGTAATCCAACGAAATCTTCTTAACAGGATGACACAAAATATTGTTATTCTATTACAAATGCAGGTAATGGGAAAAGGGACATTATAATTCATGCTGGCAAAGAATTATGACTTTAGATATTTTCTTCAACAAAAAAAAAGGAATATTGAAAACCGGTTTGAAGAGAAACTTTTGAAAAATCTCGAAAAGCCTTATTTATTATTGATTGATAATGCTTTTTACCATACTAAACGGAAAAAATTCCTTCTGTAGAACGGAAGAAATAGGAGAATGGTTTTGAAAAAAGAATATAAAACATGATGATTTATTTTTGAAAAATGGCCTGTGGAGCAAATGCTGCCCGCTGTATTTTCAATTTTCAAAAAACAATATGTTGTTGGAATATGGTCAACAGGTTTTGAGATTACCGCCTTACCATTGCCTCTAAAATGGTTTTGTTCATATATGTAACCATTTTTTTTGTATATTGGGGAAAAGTGATTTTAAAAGCAAGCACAAGTGTGCATGTGTACCGTAATGATTATCAAAAAATGCAAGGGCGAATAAATTAAATAAAAAATTCCAGATATTACCAAAGAACATTCATTGCCCAGATCTGCGAACTGGTACTCCGGGTTTTAGGGCTATGAGTATCAGGTCAATTTGAAACGGACTTTATGTACATAAAGACCATTTTTAAGCCTAGTTACGGAATTGCGGACCTGTTTAAACGGAAGCACGTTATGGTGCCAACTTTGTGGCACACAATGTGTGCGCAGACACTGTGACGTTTGTCGGAAATTTTCTCTCACGTGCAAATTTAAAAAAATTAACAACAATGAGCTATTATGGAGGACATGCGACGTGAATGTTTTATTACAGTACATATACCGACGGAAAGTTGTATGGCTAGGCAGAAGGAACGACAGTTTTAATATTAGTTTGCTGCGAGAAATCGAAACCAAGATTGGTATAAATTACGAATAGCGACGTTCATACCTGGACATAATTTTCTTTGCTAACAGATTGGTGTTAAGTCCTGCAATTATGTTATGAACCGTAAAAGGGGTTTTAAAAATATACGTGAAAATCCTTTTCCCTCCAATTTTTTGTACATAACGTTACAGTTGAATTAAGAAAAAAATAAAAAGTTAAAGTCAAATGTTCCGTCAGCAAATTTCCAATTTAGACAATAGGTTTCGATGTAATAATAGTTTATTTGATCAAGTACATATTACATCTGGGGTACCACAAGGTTCAATCTCAAATTTTTTGTTTTGATAAGGAAGATTCCTTAGAGGCTATTATATATATTTGTAAAAAATACATCTTGAAACTTAATGCTAAGAAATCCCATCTTTGGTTATTTCGGGAGCAAGAATGAAAATAAATAAGAACTAAAAGTTCAGATTTTCACGAAATTTTCGTGAAAATCTGAACTTTTAGTTCTTATTTATTTTGATAAATGGATTTTCATCAAGTAAAAGCCACCTCAGTTCAAAGCAAGAATGAAGTCGAATTTCTTGAAAGCAATATTGAGATCTCTATAGGCAATAGTAAAATTGACTGATAATAAATTGGATGATAATAACCTTAGATTTAAGCATATCCTAAAAATTACATTTCAGAGAACTGTTTAGTCTATAGAAAAGGTTTATCGCAACCGACATATTTTAAATTTCAAACTAAGGAAACTTTCAGTGAAACCTTAGTAATTATATGTCTCTCTCTCTTGTAACGGTTTAGCATGAATTTTACAGGTGCATATATTTTTTTATATAAAATTATTAAAGACAAACACTCTGGTATTGGTATTTAGTCATAATGTTGGAAATGTTCAAATGAGGTATAAGATTAAATTGTCGATTCCAGCTCCTCAGAGTGGGCGGCATTTTTTTTATTATAATACTTTGCCAGTTGATTTACTAAACTTAAGTGTTGGAACTTTTAAATTTAAATTTAACAATTATTTACTTTATATACAACAAACTCAGTATTTCCCTTGATAAGTAAACAATTGTTTCTAATTTAAAATTTTCGAGGCTATTAATGCAAGCTAGTGACTGTTGTTGAACAGAGCATTCTTGCTTAAAATTTGGTGCTTAATCTACAGTGCACAGTAATTTCTTATTATTATTATATAAAATCTGCAATCCTGTCAGAAAAAATTATATGTAA